TTAATGTGTAATAAATTATTCAGCAACAAAGCACTCTTCATTCTATTTACAGGAAGTTAGAGCTAAGTGTGTGAGGTATACATAACTAACACGAAAAACTATTCACTATCATTGCCAAGGCTGAAGCTTTTTCTGAAGCCATTAGTCTCATATTCAGTGAGCCAAATCCCCATCAGGTGAAAACTAACATAGCCTCATTGAATTTGCCTTAAAAGAAAGAGAAGCACGAAGGGTGACTTCTCTGATCTCCATCTGAGAATCAGAAAGGTCAAAGGATAGGTGTTGTGGAATCTCACATATAAGTAGATCGTAGCATATTCCTTGTGTTTACTTCTCTGTTCATTTACATATAACACTCTTGAATGGCACCCTGTCAACAACGTTGTTGAAAAAACTATACTAGTTTCTCTGACTGGATCCAGGAGTCTTCCTTAGCATATGCCTCATCTCTCTCCATGGATAGTAACCAGAAAAGGTGATGCACTGTGTTTAGCCTTAGCTCCTGATAAAAAGATTTTTATGTTACGTGGAACTGGTTCATTGAGATCTAGATTTTAGACACCCATTTGATCCACGCAGGTTTCCATATGCTCAGACCGGACCTGAAACAACTTAGATATAGAGACATAATACTTTTCTACTAATGAACAAGCCATCCACCCAAACATCCCTAATGTTACTGTGTATACAGTTAAAAAGGTACCTGTGCTACAAAATAGTCATGAAACAGGTGAAAGTTGTCTTTATTGATTAATAAGAGTTCAAGGTAAAATCAAAAGTCAGAATTAGATTAAAGTATGTGCATATTAGCAATTTAAAGAAAGACAAAATTTTTGTGACAGATCAAAGGGAAAATAAGATATCTATATTTTTTGTGTTAGATATACAAAATATTTGCTAATTGCTTTGTTCCCTGAATCTCATAAAAGAAGAAAATCAAAGTCCTCCTTATATATGCCTCTAGATTCATAGTTCGCATCAATTCTCTGCTGAGATCCAGCCTTCTTCCTGTGTAAGAAGTCTTTGAATTTCTGTGGAAATAAAAAGGGTCTATTTCACCTCTGATTGCTGCCAGGAGTAGGGTAAAACTTTTTTAGCAGCAATTACAATTTCCTGTACAGTTTCAGCATATTATTGTATATGACTGTCTTCATTACTGGGCATGGGAAGCACTCAGCCTTGCCAGGAGAGCTCCTGCAGGCATCCCACCCAAACCCTCATGCTTTATGAGGCAGTTTGATGTTCCTGACCATTAAAAGGATTTGATTTATAAGCAAAACTGTTGGCTTATAGAATGGGGAAGTGGCAAGTTTAATGTCTGAGATGGTCAATTCTTAGAGGTGCTGATGGACCATGAAGTGACTTGATCATTTCCAGACCCTGAAAAAGAAAAAATGGAAGTCAACTTAGGTGAGAAAAAACAATTATCTTATGTTCAGTGGAGTCAGTTTTTCCAAGTGTATGGTTTATAGACCAGATTCCTTAGAAGATGGAAGCAGCCTGGGTTGTACTCCTTGCTCAAAGAACAATTTCATATTTTTGAATAAGAACTAAGTTCATGTCTTCACACTAGAAAGCAACTTTACTCAATTGTCTTTAACGGAAAGAGGCCCACTGGAATATCAAAGTAATGAGGAGAGAGATGTCTGCCATGCACCCACATTATGGCAGTCTGCAGCTGGGTGTTGAGTGTCCTTTCCTAAAGCAACGGTGTGGATTTCAGTTCCTTCTGTGAGCAAAGGAACTCTGCTTTCTTAGTTGAAGACTAAGCTACTGAGGAAAATTAAGTCTCTGCCTCTGGTAGAAGGAAAGAACAATCCTTTGGGAGATAGAAAAGACTTTGTTTAGATCACATATCTCTGTAGGCTGTCATGAACCAGGTATTAAGTTGCTTAGCACTTGAAGAAAGGGATGTGGCTGAACATGGATAGAAACAGAACTGGCCACAGCTGAACTGGTCACTGGCTCATACCTCAGGGAGTACAGTCTTAGGTTTTCTGCTTAAGTTAAACTTAGGGATCTTTCTCTCTTATATAGCCAAAAACAGATTTCCAGCAGTAGTCTCATTAGCCCTTTTTTTCAAACCACCTGCTTTCTCAGAGATTTTGTGGTATGAAGAGGCAGGTTTTAGGCCAATATTCACTCCTTAAAATTTAATTTATTAAACTCCAAATTAAACATTTTTGGTTTTCCATGGAATTCTGATGGCATGCGACTTGACTCTCAGCAGAAAGGAACCATTCAGTGTACATTTAGCTTTGATTCTGTAGCTTAAGTTCTTGCAAAACTTCTATTACTTCTATTACACTTTGCTAGTGTAATATGCGTAGGAGCAGATCCACGAAAACAATAAAAATAATAAGCATATATTTTGCTTTTATTTGGTCTTACAAATGTGTATAAGCTTCATGGAATCAGCTCAGCAAGTTTCTTTTAAAAGAAAAATCTCTGCCTACCAAGTTCATGGTGGAAAATGAGAATCCTTTGCAGCTGCTGCTGTGTTATTTACAATACAACTTTGGATCAAAAGATGGGTTTTAAAGAATTCCTAATGCTTTACTCTGTTGCCAAATATGTTCAGCTTTTAGCAATGTTGAAACAGGCATTTCTACAGTGGCAGTTCCTCTAGGGTGATAAATCCCAGTTTATGTTTCACAGACGGAAGGTCTCCATGATCATTCTGCCTGTGTTCATAAGCCAGGATTCAGAAAAATCACACAAAAGCAAAGTCTAAAGTCATATGTAGTGTTTGCCCTGATCCCCTTCCTCTCTCTCTAATCAAAGAACAGGCACTCTGTCATTAAATATCTTCTATTAAACATTTCATTTTCATTACTGAATGCTCCTTTCTGCTCACATGTTTGACATCACTGATAGCTGTAGCCAGTCATTAAGATTTGTGTTTCTTGTGATTTATTACACACTGAATCCTTTATTGCACTTCTAAATTGCTCAGAGTTTGTTTCTGTCTGTCTTTGACAGTGCTTTGCAAGAAGTTCAAGTGCTGGACAGTGTGACTGCTAAACTGAGAGTTTGTATGCAGCTCTCTGAGCTGTTAAAGTGCCACTTTCTAATTCAAATAGAAACACATCAAAGCACTATGTGTACTATTGTTTTTCTTCTCTATAGCTAATCCCTGAGTCTCAGTGCTGCCTTTCTATTACACTGATTACAAAACACAATTTTAAGTCAAACAAGATTAAAAAACATAGTACTGTGACTTCCAACCTAATTCCTGACAAATCTGTGATGCACCAGATGCTCCTTCCCTCGGGATGAAATGATACATGGCTCTCTTTGTATTATCACTGCACAGACATGTTTACTCCACCCAATTTGCTCACATGGGGTAGAAGAAAAGACTGTTTAAGGGAGGTGTGCTTTCAAGTGCCTTTGCAAATGGAAAGGATAGCAGGCAAATTTCTTACTTCTTCACCTCTTGGTGCCCTTGTTCACATCTATTTTATTTCAATAGTAGTTTGGAGGAAGGAAGTAAGTGCGTGTATTGAGCTTTTAGCTGTTAAATTGTGGGAACTAATGCTCATTCCGTGAGACAGTCAGGAGATTCTACCCTGTACATAAAAGAAGGCCAAGAGCTGTCAAATATCATGATCTAAAAATACAATGAAAACTTCAGCTTTTGCACTGAGATCTTCTTAAAGAAGTCAGGAAGAAAGCAAGTATAATTTCAAAACAAAATCCTTTCCAAGCCACCTTTTCAACCCCAGGTGCAGGAAATGATAATTATTTATAGACTTCATTCAATTAAAGTCTGTGAAGTCCCTTAACCTCTGGTAAGCTAAAGCAGATCAGGAGTGCCAAGGTGATTTCCACATAAACAGCTCCTGAAGGGACAGGAATTGGCAGGGACGCTGTGTGGCATTCTGCAATTCGTGGTCTAGCTAATATTTCAGGAAACATGATACATGTGTGCTACAGGCCCAGTCCTGCACCTGTCAATGTTAGTGGCAACATTTCTAGTGATTTCATTAAGAGCAGGATCAAGCCTGCTTTCAGCATTAGATGCTGTTGGTGCTTCAAATGTGTGCAGAGGAATTGCCAGGAAGATTGGAAACCAAGTGGTAAATCTATGTCAACAGGTAAAGCAATCCCATTTGGGTATCTGTCCCTGTTTGTTTTGGGGGGTTGTGGTAGACACACACACCCGTTGTATACAAGCAGTGATTTGCCCTTTCTGCCTGCAGCCAGTGTGAGCTACCTTTGTTCACACTCCAGCCCTACCTGTCGAGCCTGAGGACGGTGTTGGTGCAGCAGCTCCACGGGACAGTTACTAATGACTGATAAAAGAATAAATCCCCACTGTAGATATGGCCTGAGGCTGTTTGTGTGACCTGCCAGGATGATCTTTAATATTTACTGCTGATTGTAAACTAAGTAGGCATCAGAAACCTAGCAGAGGTTTGTTCACCTAATCTACCTGTTACAGCTCCGCTGCCTGGGGCTTTTTCAGTAAAAGCCTGGACCTGAACATCACTAAGTGGAGTCATCATAGAGACGAGCTCTCTTACCCCTCATTAGTTAGGAACAAAATAAGCTGCAGCAAAATTTTCGTCTGTGCAAGCTCCTCTACAACCTCAGGCTTTATTCAGTCAACACTGATCATAGGGGAAAATTATTTAATAATGGGAATAATGTTTTTTAGACTTTAAATTCCATCATGATTCCTCAGTAAAATAATCTTTAACACAAAGTATTCAAATAATAGGAGAGGAGCCTCTGTTAGACTACAGTTGAAACCTCAGTGCTATCAATGCACATTCAATAGTGGTCAAAATGCCAGTAATGAACTTTCCTCTTCCTTGGGTAACTCTTCACCCTTTTTTTTTTTTTGACTATATACAGTTATTCTACATGCTTTAAGTTACAGCTGAAAGAATCCCTTTTGTTAAAAAGAATGTTTATTTTATATTTCTGAGGAAAATAATCACTAAAATTATATACTTCTCTTTGTATTGCTTCCATTTTTTATTTAATTTCAGGTCCAAATCTCAATCTAGAAACTGTTTCCTGGGTCTTCGCTGAAGAGCGGTTGAAAAGTCAAGATCCCCTGAATCAGCAGCAGTAGAAGGGTTCTTCAGTTAATTTAGCCAACATAATTGCCTCAGCAAAGGTCATGAAAAGTTTGCCTCTGGAACATTACAAGAAAGCCAAAGCTAAATATATTCATCTGTGCAAATACTAGTGAATGAAAAAAACTTCACGAAGTAATGACATCTACCAGCAATAAACGACAACTGGAGCATTTGGCATTATCAAAATAAAAGCAAAGAAGAAAAAAGGACTTACTTATGCTCTATAGAAAGAAAATTTAGAATTTAATATTAATTAGTGTTGGTTTGCAGAGAATAATATGGTGACAGCAAGCTAGAAAGGGAGAGAAACTGAAAGAAAGCAATGCTTTTACACGGCTGTTCTGTATTCCCGGTATATCCTTTCTTAACATAAGTGTTAACATTAAATAGAATGCAACATGGTGCCAAATGCTTCAGAGTTGATATGGACTGTGAGTAGGCTCTGTATGTAAATGTATCATTGCAAGGATATGTGAGAACAAACCACTCCGCCTACACAGAGAGGTGTAAATAGATGCATATACTCCACATAGGACCTGCTGGCAGCATGATTTTTATGTATAATCATTAAATGTTCTCAGTCCTAATTCCAAATGGGTTTGTCCATTCTTTCTGAATTTTTAGTAAAGATATTGAAAAGGCTTGTATAGACTGCCTGAGATAATTTTGCAAAATGAGAACACATACTTTAAAGTTTCCTGGTATTAAATGGTTGGGGGAGTATTGTACAGAGTTTGAATAAACCTTCAGATTCACTGATGACACATAATGATAGGAAGGGATGGGTTGTACTATAGGTTAAACAAGTGTATTTCAGGTGGAAAAAAGCCAGCAATTAGAAAACACTTTCCTTCACATTATTGAAAATGTGTGTCTGCCTGCCTTTTAATTACAGTGTGTGGAGACACTGCTGAATCAGCCGGCTTGGTATGTTCTAGAGAGCTTACTGTCATCATCTCCCTCCATGGACTACATCTCTCTCCTGATAAGACAGAACAAAAACAAGAGCTATGATCTGGGGCTGACTCATTTAAAATTTCACAGACAGACAATGCATTATAGATTTTCAAACCATTAGCCTAAGCCAATATTAGTTTGCACACTAAAACAAATAACAAAATAGACCAACCATCAGATGATTTGTCTCAGCTTTAAGTCAAGCCCTTGGAAATCATACTCAACCAAAACTGTCCCCTTTATGGAAGAACCATAACTCTGTCCCCTCATGTAAGAGGTTCAAACAGGATTTCATTTGCTAGGAGCTCGTCCTTAATGCATGCAAAATTGAGTGGGTTTGAAATGTGGCCTTTTGTGAACAAAGTCACAGACAAACTCTTCAGTTCATGAAAGATAGCAAATGTGATGTTAAACTAGACTAACAGCATTGATTTGGAGAGCATAATGTGACAGTGTTGTATCTATGCTGCAAGATGAATGGTGCAAGCTGAATGGTTACATGTGGAAAAATGGTTCTGGTATTTTTACCAAAAAAAGGGAGTACCAATGACGGTGTTTGAGGTTATCTTTAGGGTTGTTCTTTTCAGGATCTGTTTTGTATCTGTGTTCTAAGTCTCATCTTCCTATGCTCGTGTTTACTCATGGCCATCTCTAAAATTTCAATGGTAAATGAATGAGTTGTTACTAACATGACTAGAATTGTAATTTCATAAATGTAACTTCTCTAATCTTCCTCATTTCTTGATACTGCCAAACTTTGAAACACATAGACAAATTCCAGTGGACTCCAAGAAGCCTCAAAAGCACGTGCCAAAATTAAAGTGAACTGAGACAAAATTTGCAGATGATTAAAAGTGAACAGCAGAAGTTCAGCAGCAACACACTATTTAAGACAATGGGTACCTCCTTTTCATAAACCAATGTGTATTTTCTTGTATGAAAATGCAAATTATATGGGATTGATCCCTTTGATAAACTGGTAAATTACCCACACCCTGATATTTTTGTTTTCTAGTGGAGATTCTTAAATTCACATAGAGCCTTATGTTTTGCAAATTTTCTTTTTGTTTGTGTCATTTACCCAGAGGATTTGAGAGTTTCTTGCGCTACTTGGGAGCTTCTTCACTGACTTTTCACGGTTGTACTTTAAAAATATACAGTTGGTCTTTTTGGTTTTGGAAACAAAATTTTTTTTTGTACTTGAAGATCCTGGACCATAAACAATGGAAGTCGTCTCTATAACATGTAGGAGTAGTATACTTGTATTTCCTTGCTGCTATTACTTTAGTTTGGAAGTGATCCAGTACTTCATTCAGATACATTTTTGAGGGCTGAAAGAGCATGATCATACCTGTTGACTCCGTTGAATTTCCTAGCAACCATTGTTCCCCTTTGTATTTTTTTACATACTCTGTTTCCCCAGTTTCCATTAAATTGAAAAACATTCCTTTCTTGAGAACTAATGACATCTCAAAGCATTAAATCCGATCAGCAGCACAGATGCTTCTCTTCTGGCTTGTATCAATGAGATGTAAGTGACAGAACAGTGACAGATAGGATCTGGGGAGGAACTAGTCAACTACAGTTCATATTAGTTGGTTATGTTGCCCCTTCACATGACATAATCCTGATTTTGATGTTATATTATACTGACCTTTAAGTTTACTGACTAAAGAGAACAGTTATGTAACTGGGATCAGCTAAACCAAAAAGAGCAAAAATATGAAGAGGTGGAATCCAGACCTAGAAAAGTGCTAGTGCAGAAACATAAACTGCTGCTCAAAAATTTTGCTGAAGGACCAGTTTCATTACAGTGTTAAAAATGATTTCTATTAAAAAGAGATCCTCCCACTATGATATGTTTCCTTTTAGTCTTCTGTATTAACAAAATAACTTCTTACTTGCTATGTTAAAAGAGATGCTAAATGGTTCATGAGTCCATGTGGATGTGAGAACAGATGGGCAGAGGCATGTATTAGTGCTTTGTTTCCTTTTTTAAATTTACTTTAAATACCAGCAGGTGTAATATGCTTTTAAGTAGAGCAGGCCCTGATTAGCTGCAAATAGCTACTGCTATTTAAAAACATGGCCCTTCTAAGACAGGTAGTTCTGAAAGGTCTCCCGGAGTAGAGAAGGAAGGCAAGGCAGAGCTGAGTAGCTGTCTCTGAAACCCGAGTTAGTCTGGATTGGGTCTGGGATTTCCTAGTTGTTGACTATGTCCCTAAAAAGTCCTTTATGCAGTGACTGCAAGAGGAATAGGACTGAGGACACAAAAGATGTATGGAGGTGGTTATAAGATCTAGCTGAACACAGAAGAGTGCTCCTTTTAATAGGAGAAGTTGAGAGGGAGAATGGTGTGGGACCACAGAAAAGGTAGCCTATGTCACTTAAGAGCATTTATGGGTGGTCTGCATGGTCATTCTCTCCTGATCAAGCTTGTTTTCATCTTTCAAAGACTCAATATCCCCAACTCTGGTACCTTGAACTCTCTAAGGCTTACCTTTTTCTCCTATTTTTTTACTCTATTTCCAGCTACCAGCTACTTGCTATTTTTTTCCACTGCTGTGCACTGTTTGTAGTTTGAAAGCTTTACATAAAGAATGACTTGAGCTGAAAGACCCCTGTCAGTCAGACTATGGGAGAGCAGGCTCTGCTGAGGGAACTCAAGTGTGTCTCCACAGCCCATAGAGGTAGCTATACACATACTGCACAGTCTGATCCAGGACATCACCCTGGAAAGCTGACATCTAGCTAGCTGCAGAGCTTAGCTGACCTAGCCCTGCTAGCAATCAGCCTTTTTGTTCCCAGTTTGTTTTGGTTTTTTTTTCCCTCTGGGACAATTCTGTGCTGCAGCCTGAGTTCAGAGCAGAGGCTTCCCATTGATGAAGAAGGAGGTCAGATTCCAGGGGTTCCAAGATTTCACCTAGGTGGATTTTTACTACCATATGCAATTAAGTGGAACTTACTTTTATTGTAGAAGAGTGTAAAGGGGCTTGAAGCGTTCTCTCTGCAAGAGAGCCTTATGACAGATGAGTTTCTCTGGGAAGATCCATGAGCACTCAAGACTGTGAAGAACTCTTAGGCTTTTGTTTTGTCATTTGAGTTAAAAAGGTCAGGCCACAGGAAGGATGAAAATCTGGAATGAACACACAGTGCATGTTCTACCCAGAGAAGAGTGGGAATATGCATGTTTACATCTTCTCTCCCCAGTTTCCTTTTGAATAGTGAATAGTGTGCCTCAGAGACTGTCTTTTGAACTTCTTCATTAGGGATTTTCCTCTCTGAAGAGGGCAGTCATTTAGAAACCATTTGTTTGGGTTTTTTTTTTTTTTGGGGGGGGGGTTGTTTGGTTTTTTGGTTTTTTGTTTGTTTTGTTTTTGTCTTTTTGTTTGTTTTTGTTTTTTGTTTTTGTTTTTTTTGTTTTGTTTTTGTTTGGTTTGGGGGGTTGCTCGGGTTTTGTTTTGTTTTCATTTAGAGAATTCAAATCTAATACTAGACTAATGCTGAAGAACTGGGAAAGGAAGAAGCTCTGAATTAGGCTTGAAAACCAGATAAAAATGGTTTTAAATGTAATGGTTTTGTGTTGTATTATAGAAGCCAATTGTTGCCATTGAGCAGCAATGCAAGTAGTGTATGTTGCAGACGTTGCTTGCACCCTCTACTCCAAAGTCTTTCCCAAGCCTGGAAATGCTCTTCTCCCCAGGTCCTTATTTCTAGTGCAGTTTGTGCTATTTAAATATGCTAACATGTTGAGAAGAGACTGAAAGAAACAGTCTAATGCAGTACCTACACCACTGTGGCTGCATGTCACTTCTACATGGTATTTTAAGCCATTTTCGTTATTCTGTGTTTGCCATTCTGTCAACTGCCTTGACTTGCAGGTATGCTTCACTACCCATTGATTGTATCTATGTTTTCCCTGTTCTTTTCCAATGTTTCTATTTTTCCACTTCATACTTCTCTTCTCCATTTACTTGATTCTTGTCTTCAGACCTTACATCCTTCCTGATATCATCAGATTGCATTTCTACTGAAGGATAGAAGCTGTCAGGACCCTGTAGGTTATCTCACTACTTTGAGAAAAAAAAAAAAAAGTTGGACTTGCTTGTAGTTTTAGCTCAGTTCTTTTATCTATACATCAGTCATGGATTAACAAAGTCAACCATGAAAAGCTAGTAATTTTAATTTTTTTTTCTTTGCTTTAAAATCAAATCATTTTGTCCAGTTCCTCAGAGTTTCCATCTCTAACATTGTCTCTAACTCCATTTCTTGTTATGACTCCTCTGTAGAGATTCATAGGAGTTAAAACACAATATTTTTCCTTAAACAAAAACTTCTTACATGCCAAGGAAAATAACCATCAAGACTACGTGTAACAATGCCATCTGGTGACTCCTGCCATAACAAGCTTTTTCCTCTGCCTTTGTCTCCTACTGCTTCCCCCTCACCCTTTACTATCCATGTCATCACTCATCTCCCTAACTCTTCTTTTCATTGCCTTCCCTCCTTCTCAGTCACAGTATTTGTGAGGTCTGTAATCTCGCTTTAATCATAGAATGGCCTGGGTTGGAAGGAATCTTAAAGGTCATCTAGTTTCAACCCTCCTGCCATAATGTCTCCTTTTTATTCA